TTGTAAAAGCATGATGCTGAGGAGAGGGGCTGAGCCGGCAGAGCTGACTGCAGCTCAGTTTCATGTGTACAATGCACAGACAGCAGCAGTTACACAGCACTTCTTGCCTTTATCTCCTCTTGAGGTGGTTTGATAAGACATTACACGAGAGGTGGTAGCAACCAAAAGGTAGTTCCATTTTAAATACAGCCATAGTTGCACGGCAGAAGAGGGGGCTCAGGCTCAGCATTTAGCTTTGCAAGGGAGAGGAAGCCTGTTCCCTGTGCGAACAGCGGGAGCAGAGCGGGGCATTAATGATGTGTGGAGATCGGTCGGTTCAGTTCTGCTGCAATTTTTCCAGATGCGTGAGTTTGAGTCTCACCTGGTCTATTGCCCTGCCACTTCTCTTGTGCTGAAAAGAGGGCACAGTGTCATTTAAACTGGTGATTCAGAGGCAGCCAGGTATGATGCTAAAAACCTCTCTCTGTGGTGTAGAAATTGTCATGGCTGATGGGTCAGGGTGACCTTTTATCTTCATTTTGTTCACCACCTTTTAAAATACAGCAAAGGCTTCTATATTGATTCATGGAAGATATTATAAGCCTAAAATACAAATCTCACCATCTGAGAAATTTTGAAGCTCAGAATTTTGGAATTTGCCAAAAACATGGCAAAAACTATTTCTGTTGGTTTTGTATGTTTTAATCTTTGAATCTCTAGTTCTAGGAAAGGCCCTTAAACATAAGCACTTGTTTTTGTCACAGTGAAATAAGTGAAAGGCACGTCTTTGGCTAATTATGTAAACTATTGGGCACTACAGTCACAAAGCTTCTACAGAAGAGGAGGATCATTTGAAACCACTTGTTTGTTTGAAGTCCTTCCATTTCAAATAACATTTTTCTTTAGTGCAGAGATTTACATTTTTCTTAAAAGTTGCATTTTGCCTTCAGTTCCGGACCTTATTTGGCTTTCCAGGGAAGGCAAACAGTGCACTGCACATAGACTCACAGGGATCAAATGTTAGCTCTTAGTGTGATATTATCTTCTGCACATTTTTATATTATTGCGGTTCATAACACTGCACCACAAGATGGAAAACAGTAAAAGCCTCTTTATTTATAAGGTTATTACAGGTATCCTCCAGTGTATCTCATGTGTATACATCCTGTCAAAATGTTTCAGGATTTTGACAACAGTGTCTGAACTTGTTTCAAGTGACATGACATGGCTTTTAACTGTATTTTTTATAGTTTCAGTGTTTTTAAGCATCACTGATAGAAGTGTTACCTATGCACAAAAAAAATAAAGAATTCCTTGGTGAACGAAAAGGTTTAAATAAGCGTCAGTTAAATTTTGCAGTTAAATAACCTGTATGGGAAATTATTATGATGCTCTCTGTAATTGCTATCGGGGAAAAAAAAATCTTGAAGCCTGTGGAAGGCATAACAAACCTAATTAATGCCCACTCTGTTTCTTCAGAGAAAGATTTTATGTAATGTAAATGCACTGCATAGAAAATGTTATTGTGCTTATTTTATAGTTTGCCTTTATTTTTTTCTTGCACAGCTGTAGTGTATGGTATTTCACAATGCAGTGTGTACCTGTCTTCAGGATTGCAAATTGTATTGTCATTTCTGAAATGTGAAAAACAATTATATATTTCCTTATTTTTCAAGTGTTGATGTCAATTATGATCTAAGGTGTATTGGATGTGTTTGTGCATGTGCACACATTCATGTTCTAAAATAGCTGACTGTTTCATTGTTGTGTTCGCTATGTGTGCATGGAAGTCAAGTTATTATCAGGAGCACTCTTTTTAGCTTTTATAATAAAAGCTGAATCAGAGGCCGAAAACACTGACACATCTGGAATTTAAGAGCATTTCCAGAGACTGACAATTAATGGTACTCAATCAACCCTGCACCTCATCACTGATGGCTGATTAGAGTTTAGCTAATGAGAAGATATTCAGGGAACAGTCAGGGATTTTTTTATTCAGTTGTCAGTTTGGTTGGGGATCTCTATGGGTTTAAATCTGAGCTGATATCCACAAAATGGTCCAGAAGAATCCATGTAAATAGTCAGACTATTCTCTGCTGTCAGTAGTTTTGTAGATCGGGGATCATTGCTTTAAAAGTTTATAAAGCTATATTGCTCTCTGTGTTTCTAAAGTATCTAAAATAAAGTGTCCTGGCCTCCCAGTAGCTCTGAATGGGAAATGGTGATTAGCAGAAGGGGACTGTTCTGGTCTGTGCCTGGCAGTGCTCACCCATACTAACAGGTCTGCTTAATGGTGTTTGCTGAGACACTACCATTGGATCCAGATTCATCTTGAGGGTATCCAGGGAAAAGACAAGAGGCAATGGGCACAAATTGGAACACAGGAAATTTCGTTTAAGTATAAGAAAAAACCTGCAAGGGAGACTGAATACTGGACCAAGTTCCTCAGAGAGGTGTAGTCTCTGTCTTTGGAGATATTCAAATCCTGACTAGATACAGCCTTGGGTAGCCTGCCCTAGCTGACCCTTCTCAGAGCTGGGAGGTTGGACAACGAGACATGCCTTCCAATCTCAGCAAGTCCGTGGCTCTGTGATTTGCTTAATTGGGACCTAACTGGTTATGTCTGGGCTTCCTTAACAGAGCAGGCTGGGGAATACCACTGTATGTGTGTTTGCAAGCAAAGGTCTGAGCAGATATGATGGTTGGTTTGCCAGTGTGCTTGGTGCACTCACCATCAACACCCCGGAAGGCACACCTGGGGCTGGGCTTGCAGGCTTATCTCTGAACAGCCTTCAGGTATGGTCTAAGTGCAGCCACTAGGCAACCTGGCCATAACTAGTGTCATTGAGCCCTTTTTTTTCCTGAACTACAGTGGTGGTATCATGACATAGGATTAAGCAGACAGCTAATATCCTCAATTCTTGCAGTTCTTTCCCAGTGGAGTTGTAGAAAGGGTCATCTGATAATCAGTGAGTACAAAGAGCTTGGGCCCCTGGTGGTCTAGTGGTTAGGGCGCAGGACTCTCACCGCTGCGACCCGGGTTCGATTCCCAGCCCCCGGGCAGATGGAGCTCGTCAGCCCTGTAAGGCAATCCATCTAAGAGAAGGTCACTCTAAACAAACCTACGTCCTGAGACCCTCACTGCCACTGTCCAAGCTTGCTCGGCCCCACAGATGAACCTCAGGATTAAAGGGTGGGCTCAGTTCAGCGCACACTGGGTCTCACCTAAAAAAATCCACTGTGCAGGCTCAAAGGGTAAAGACCTTTCCCAAATCTTCGCTCGTGAAGACTGGCCATACTATACAAAGAGCTTGATAATTCCATGTGCTTCTCTGCCAGGATGTTGATGATAACTGACTTACGTTTTGTAGGTGTGCAGTGCGATCCAAAATCAAGATTTCACTGTTATTGAGGACTACTGCACTGGACTGCAAGCTCTTCTTTACCTGAAAAGCATTGAGGAACTTGAAGACTGGAATGGACAGAGTCCTGCAACCATGCGCCACCAGAAAGGAAAACCAGTACCTAGAATTGCTGACTTGATGGGAAAGGTATGTTGTTCCATTGACATTCCTGACACTATGTCTTGGTTTTGAATGTAATTCCATAATCATTGTATGAAGTTTCTGCTACTTACCTTGATTAATCACTGCTGCTGTCACAATTAGTCACCAGGTCTTTTTCCTTCTGAGTATTAACAAATATCTGAAGGCAGCTTAAGAAGGCAAACTTGAAATTACTTGATATGGGCTAACATGTTTACTATAAATGTGATCACTTGATTCATAACATCATGTCTTTAAAGTGTCTTTTTAAACAGGCAAATGCATTAGAACAAGTTCTGGAACTGTTTGTTTTAATGAAACTCAACTCAGTTCAGATTGATATTAATATTGTGCCAGAAATTCCGGGCTGTTCCAGCTGGGGTGCAACATTCAGGAGACATGCAAAACCCCCCTCACACTGGATCTGACCGGCTGAGGCAGGTGTAATCTGTTAGTTGGAACACTAGATCAGGTAGGAGTGGCCCTTCAGTCACTGTACCTAAGCATCTCAAGGTCTTTCATGTCTGCTGACACCCAAATGCTCTCTGAGGCAGAGAAGTTCCAGGTGAAGATCAGTGACACCAAAGGAGTTAATAAATTCCACAATATCATTTAAACCTAGAAAGTCTGTGATGAAATAGGAATGTAAACTATGGTCTCTATGAAATCCTAACCTCTGGACTGTCTTTCCTCTCTGCTCCGGTAGTTCCCTGCTACAAAAGCATTTTTGTCAGATGCAGTGGGTTTCAGCTGCCCCAGTACTGCTCATCCCTCCACCAGGGCACCTGCTGATCCATGCTGAGAAGCAGGGAAGTGTAACTGGCTTCCTAGTGATGCCCCGCTGCCTACTGCTCTAAGCAAAATACCTGCACAGCAGGGAGGCTGAGCTTTTGTTTCTGGTTACTAGAGGGGATCACTTTGAAGACTGATTTCAGTTATACATCATGCCTATTGATTATCCTTCCCAAAAATCTGATATACGCCTGTTGAAAATGTTGTAAAAAGTAAAGAATTACAAAAGAATAGGATTTGGAGTGTCAAACGCCTCCAAATCTCTGCTTATCATTACTGATGACTGGAATTGGATTTAGCAGGAGATTAGAGACTCCTATATTGTTGTTGTTCTCTGTGGAGCTCTGAAAATTATAACATTACCTTCAAGGAGGAAAGACAATCCTATTCCTAAAGCTCTGGATAATACGCTGCTTAAAAATAAACCAAGATATAAGCAGTTTCATTTTCATCCACTTATGTTAAGCAGTTAAACCAGGCTCAAAGGGTTATATCTAAACTTCTTTCCTTTAACACTTGTAGAAACCTGCACGGCATTTCCAACTCATGTTACAGAGATTTGTTGTAATTCTTCTTTAAAGCTGCATTCAGTGTTCTATCTTTGTATTACCTTTGTATTTTACCAAACAGACAACTGTTGTCAAAGACAAGGAAAAAATTATAATTCTTAGACTTTTTTGCTTGTCACTACATCAATAATTAACTTTAAAAAGGTTGTTTGAAAATATGCTTTAAGGAAGCATTTAATAATTCAAAGGAATCTTAACTTGAAACAGGTCATATGAAAAAGAATAAAAAGAAAGCCCTATGTAATCTTATCTGGCTGGCTCTGTTACACATTTAAAAGGAATAAGACATGCAGAATATAATTGATTGTGTATTTGTATTAGCACTGAACTATATCCCATTGTATCATTGCTACTAAATAATAACATTTAAACTTAAGCGGGCTGCATCATTGATAAGCTAGTGATACATTTTAGGCATAAGCTCAGGATGGCTCTTCATCCAGGAATGAACAATCAAGGGAAAAGGAAGAAAAATAATATAACATGGGTAAAAGGAAACACTGTGATAAATGATCCTACTAGGGGCAATCAAATACAAAGACTTGATATCATTAATATTTATAATATCATAATTAGCAAGACTGTGCCTAAGCAGTGTTATTAGTGTAACTAATTATGTTATCATAAACTAAGTTTGCAGTATTGTAGGAATCAGTATTCTTACTTTCATAAATTATTATCAATATTGGATTTCATGTACTTGTGTCTAGTAAATTTAGTTAAGTACTGTAGTTTCATCTCAATTTAAACACCAGTATCTAGCTTGCTTGGCAGCAAGTCATAATACACACTTCTGATTCTCTTTCTAAAATAAATTCACTAAAAAGCATGTCATTACTCTCTATTTCAAACAGAGAAGATAACCTATTGATATGTTCTCATCAATAAAAGTAATGTGTAGGAATGTGTATGTTATAGATGGAGTAAAATGTGACAGCTTAAATCCTGCCTTACAGTTTTAAAAACGTACAAGGAGCTGTCCAATTTTGTATTGGTATTACCATGAGATGAAATGCAGTTTCTTCAGTTAGACCCCGTGAGAAGCTAAATAGCAAATACTGCTGAACATTTGCATTCAAAAAAAAAGTGAAGATGCTAATTTTGATATGTTGTGGGTTTAGTGCAGTAAATGTAAAAATAAAAAGGATTCATCCTTCTTTTTGTTACAAGATTACTATTGTTTTCAAATAGAATCACAAGGATAGGAAGTTCAGGCATTTGACATTTTAATAATAAGGAACTAGGAGAGAATTATTTTCACTAACATCAAGAACCACTTGCTTTCTGATTGTGTACAAATTCATTGGCCTCTACCAGTTTTAAATAGATTGCAAATTTAGGAACCATTCTGTTTCCAGCTAGGTATGCTCATAATTGTATATGTTCTGATTCACAGTGCAATATTGAGTGATAATGTCTCTATTTTTATGTAACGGTGGGCAACTTTTTTTAAAATTAGTTTTCTATCTTGGTTTCAGTATCAAACAGATGCTGAGTGCAGAGTGTTACCACAGGAGAGTGACACAGTGGAGTTTTGTCATTAAATATTGTAGTATTTGATGACCAGAGTAAACTAAAGATAAATACCTTCTCCTAAATGGTACACCTGACATCAAATTTAAGCTGTCTTGCCATGCAGTCACCAGATAAATGACAAACTGAACAGTTATCACTGACAGTTGTTACATTTATCACAATAATTTCCTTCTTAAACAGAAAGAGTACTGAAAGTACTGTGCTAAATAGTGTAATATAACAAGCAGTTAAATAGCAAACATAAAATGCTTGGTCTGAGAAAGGGAATCATGTTGATTATTATCTGTTCATCCTTCTGTATTAATGAAACTAATACTTCCATTTGATAATTTATAGCCATTGAACTATCAGAAGCATCATAGCACTAGACAGTATTTTGGAAACTTGAGTGCTGTTTTTGTTTTTCACTGTTCCAGAATCTATTTTTTTTCGTATATAGACCCTAAATTTATCATCTTTGACACAGAGGTAGATATTTTCCAATGTTTTTTTCAGTAGTGCTAGCTTTTTCCCTTTTGCTAACACAGCAGTTGCTTACCAGTGTCTAGAATGTGACCTGTAGTACTACGCTGACTGTAATAGCAGTGAGATTTCCACTTAGAAATGCTAGCCTCAGTTGTGGCTTCCAGTCACTGGGTGATACAGTTTTCCATAGCTTCACCAATTTTACTCATTCTTTCCTGTGGTTGTAGTCTTATCCATGACAGCTCCAAAAATAGTCCTAGCACAGATGCTGCATCAGGCTCACAAAGATGGCCAAAGCCAGTCTTCTGGGCTTCCTTCCTCATTGCTTTTTTGATGGCTTATTTAGTTGGTATTTGCTTTTTTTTCTGTGGGAGAACCTGACATTTGAAGCCTTGGCACAGATGACTGTCATTAATATCAACTCTGAATCACCTTTGCATTAAATGCATGGAATAAAACTTGTCAGCTTGTCTCAGCTTTAATCTCTGTTTGCAAATCTTGACACCGAGATGAGAGAATGGCAAGGTAATGATGACACCACACTGCTTCTACTGACTCCTTCAAGGAAAAACTTTTGTAAAAGCACACTTACCTCAGCATGAATTTAGGACTGAGATCAAGCGCATGATGCAGTCAGGCAGACAGTTAAGATGTAGTGCACACTCTTACAACCCAGAGTTATTAGGGTGACTGCATAAAATAGAGGAAGGGCATAGTTAAGTCTCCTTACAATCCAGAATTAACAGAATTATGTTTTAAAATAATATTCCTAATTTTCTCAGGAGGATACATGAACAGGAGTGATAAAGATGACTGTTCTCACTAGGTGTCTGGGTAAGGTACAGTATTCCCCAGAGGTGCAATTTGATCTCCTGTGTGTCTCACTGTCTCACCTTCTCTATTTGTTACAGGACTCTTTTGTTAGTTGCTCACTGATCTTAATCCAGAGAGCTGAAGTGATTATGTCCCAGAAATGCGATGGTGTCAGCTGGTGATCACAGAAGTGGTGCAGTGTGTCGCTGTATAAACTTCCACCTAATGTCAGCTATAAAAATCATACTTAATGCAGTGGCCACTATACATGTCAGGGAACTAAACATCAAAAATATGGCAATATATTCAGTTGGTAGATGTGGGTTTATAGGAAGAGATAAATATGGATGGTTCATACCTTGCTTTCAGCACCAGGAGTTTTCCAAAAAGTGACGTTTGTTTGATCATGTCTAAAAGATAACAAAATAAAAATAAGAAAAAAAAAAATTTAAGCATCTTGATTCCAGAAATTTGCAAAATACAAACAAAACTGTTTTAATAGTGGATAATTCTCAACTAGTAAGGTTGTGCTGTACTAAAAATATTAAAACTGTATGTGATAAAAACACATTTATAAACAGTGGCTTTTTTTCAGCAGACAGAGAAAGAGAATGATGCTGTACATGCACAGCGTGTGAACTTCAGTGAAAATTCATCACCTGAGATTTAGCAAGCTGCTGATTTTCATCTTTGAATGGACTTCCCATTGAAACAGACTTCCTATTAAGACTAAAATACTCATTTCCTTCAAGTATCTATGGGTACTGAAAGCTGAGTCTTCTGAACAATACAAATTTGCTAAATCCTAACTGTATTGCAGTCAAATCTAAA